CATTGTTGTTTGGCGGGCTTGGGCTGGATTTGAACCCACCACCTTAGGTGTATGTGGCTGGCACCTTAGCCACTTGAGCCACAGGTGCCGAGCCATTGACTTATCTTGACTTAACTTTCTTCATGAATGATCTATATTACTTAAAATAGTTTGGTGGTGTCCGTGGATCAGTGGGCAGTGCACTGGCCCCATATACCAAGGGTAGTGGGTTCAAACCCACCCCAACCAAACTGCAACAAAAACACAGCCGGGTGTTATGGTGGGTGCCTGTAGTCCCAGCTACTTAGAGGAGGCTGAAGCAAGACAATTACCTAAGCCCAGGAGTTGGAGTTTGCTGTGAGCTGTATGACGCCACTGCACTCTACCGTGGGTGATAAAGTGAAACTGTCTCTACAAGAAATAAAAATAGTCCATTTTGTACCCCAAATCTCTTTTGCTTTGCCAAAACCAATTAAGTTCTACTAAGTACCACCATTAATAGGGGTCCCACAGAGAAGGAAGGTATCAAGGGCCAGGGGATGAAGGTGGTGATACTCTAGGGCTAAGCCAGCTTCGGGTGGCTCTGCTGGGATTCTGAGACTTCTTGGTGAGTGTGATAAAGGGAATGTCAGGGGATGGAGAGCTAGGTTCCTCTGAGGCCTGGGTCAAGCCCAATAGGGCCAATCGTTGGGAAGGTGGAGTGGAAAAGTAGGCCTTCTGCTCTTCTGAGTAGCGCTCTTGGGGTGTCACTGCATCCCGGTAAGTCCAGTCACGCCAATGGAAATTAAAGCCTTCAAGAAGAGCTATGCGATCAGCTCTTGTAGGCACACAGTCATGAGGTTTTCTGGGCAGCAAATCTGGCACCTCTATCCCAGGCAGCAGCACTACTCCTCGGATGGCAAACCAGCCCCCAAATCGAGGATGTACACAAACTCCTGATATGTGCTGAGGAGATAATGAAGAAAAGCAAAGTCAGGGAGGTCCCACTGGCACCAAATCCAGCCACCATACAGCAAGCTAGGCTTGTCCAGTTACTTCCCACTCAGTGGACACTACATTTGAGCCCTGTACCTGTCTCTAGACAACCCTTTCATAAATTTATTCTGAGGGAAGGGTTGGACCCAGTGTCACCACTGCTCTTCTGATCACTGTTCTCCCCCCTCCTCAAAGAGTTTTAGGAATAGACCAGGTTTTCTTCTGACCTCATGTCTCCCTAAGTAAACTCCAGAAAGCATCTGACAGGACCCCTGGCTAGGATACGGCTTCTTTGTCCTGGTTGTTACCTAACAAATCACTCAAAGCTCAGGAATGTGGGACTTGATGGGGCTTTCTTTACCATTTTATCTCACAGTCCTCACTCATTCACACTTGTCTGACCTTGGTCCCCCAGGGGTCAGCTTCCACATCTTGCCGTTGGTAGTAGTAAGCAGCCCCTGCCACGTGGGCTGCTGTCTGGGCAAGAATTTTTGGGCGTCGGTTGGGGTGCACCTCATAGTCAGCAATGACTTCAATCTGCAGCTCTGGGAGGCTCTGGCACAGAGGACAAGAGAGAGGCTTCAGTCAGCATGTGGGGAGTCATCCATGACCTTGTCCTAGTTTTTGTGTTGATATGGTCCTGTCCTAAAGTCTCCTTTGAAAAGAAAACATGGCCTGGGGACCTCCACTGTGGAGACAGTTACAGTTCTTTCTAGCTGGGCCATGTCTGAAGGGAAATATATTCCCAGTGTGGAAGACATGGTGTGGGTTTGGGGAGACCCTGTGTCTGTTCACCTACAAACGGCATATGTTAAGTATGTGGAGAATATTCTATAACCAGAGGACCCAAAGATAGCATAAAGCTTGAACGTCTAAGGCAAAGCAGGTGAGCAATGCTTTGGGAATGTTGGGCTCATTCCTGTTCCACTCAGAGTCCAAAAAATGCTAGGCCTTTGGTTCAAACAGTTGCCCATCAGGGTAAGGTGAGTGAAACTGGTTTCAGACTGAGGGTCTGCTAGAGGAAGGTGGTGGAAACCGTGTGAGAGGGCAGAACGGGGAGTATTCTGGCCAGCTTTTGGGTGTTATTTTGCATTTCAAGTAACTCCTAGCTCTAGATCTAGGTCCTGCATTAGCTTAGAGGAGCTTAAGCAGCCTGTAGCTTTGGGAGCTGGGGGAAAATCAAACCTTCCTCACCTCTTTAACACGGCTTAGATGGTAGGCCACACATTGGTCCACAGGGTCAGTCAGCGGTTTAAGGTGGCAGCTCTGCAAGAAGGGCTTGAGAGCCTGGTCAAACATGGCAGGTGTGCTAAGTATCAGAAATGCCAGGGTAGGTCCTGGTAGGGACAGGTGAAAAGCTGGAGGCAGGAGTTCATTGTACCATGCCACCTGGAACAGACAGAAAACTCAAGCCAGACTTGCCACCAGTAGCACAGTGGTTATAGTGTCAGCCATATACACCGAGGCTGGCAGGTTCGAACCTAGCCTGGACCAGCTAAACAACAATGACAACTGAAACAAAAAATAGCTGGGCATTATAGTGGGCGCCTGTAGTCCCAGCTCCTTGGGAGGCTGAGGCAAGAGAATCACTTAAGCCCAAGAGTTGCTGTCAGCTGTGACGCCATGGTACTCTACCCAGGGTGATACCTTGAGGCTCTATCTCAAAAAAAAAAAAGAAAAGAAAAGAAAACTCAATTCAGGCTAGAGAGGGCCAGCCTAGGCTTTAGCCAGGCCGACACCTAAACTTGAAATCAAAGGTCTTATACATTTTGTCCCACCCTCCATCTCATTCATTTATTAAGTTTTCTCTGATGCTGTATATGTTTATGGGGAACTCATCTAAATTTGACAGGGAGGTTTTTTGTTTGTTTGTTTGTTTTCTGAGACAGAGCCTCAAGCTTTGGCCCTGGGTAGAGTACCTGCTGAATCACAGCTCACAGCAACCTCCAACTCCTGGGCTTAAGCGATTCTCTTGCCTCAGCCTCCCCAGTAGCTGGGACTACAGGCGCCTGGCACAACGCCTGGCTATTTTTTGTTGCAGTTTGGCCAGGGCTGGGTTTGAACCCGCCAACCTTGGTATATAGGGCCGGCACCTTACTCACTGAGTCACAGGTGCTACCCAAACACACTTGCCTTTGAAGTACTCAATGTGTCCTTGCAATCTCCTGGGAAGCCGCTAATGGAACAAATTCTCATGACTGTAGAGGGGGCCCAGATGACTACATATAACATGATAAAGCAGCGGTTCTCAACCTGTGGGTTGTGATCCCTTTGTAAAAATGAAAATATATCCTGCATATCAAATAGTTACATTACGATTCACAACAGTAGCAAAATTACAGTTATGAAGTAGCAGCATAAATAATTTTATGGTTGGGGGTCACCAGAACATGAGGAACTGTATTGAACAGTCGTGGTACTAGGAAGGTTGAGAACTACTGTGATAAAGGGATACCTAGATCATTGCATGGATTGCACTATCCTGATCTCTTCAGTTGCCCTGAGATAGTAAAAGTTCAAGGAGGTGGAAGATCAGATCAGGAAGACTCTCGGTATGTGGTTTGATTACGCCAGCCTGGTTTAACACCAGGCAGTGGCTAGACTAGCCCCTGAAGAGTTCCTAAACCTTGCAACTGCAGAGAATTATTAGACCAAGAGAAACACCTGTCCTTTTCTGGATTTGCTGTGCTCTAAGAGATTCCAGGTGCAACTATAATACTATAATTATAACGTCACTTGGAATAGCCTGAATTGAGAGGAGACTCAAGCTGAATCATTACTTTCTCTGAAGCTATTCTTGACCTTGACTCATCCCCAGAATTTCTCTCAAGCTATTCCTGACCTTGGCTCATTCCTAGAATTTATCATTCCCCTTTTGTGTGTCCAAACAATAGCCTGTATAGCAAAACAAACAAAGCCACCCCCAAACTCCATAAATATAAACATTTCTTTTCTTTTCTTTTGAGACAGAGCCTCACTTTATTGCCCTGGGTAGAGTGCTGTGGCATCATAGCTCACAGCAACCTCCAACTCCTGGGCTTAGGTGATTCTCTTGCCTTAGCCTCCTGAGTAGCTGGGACTACAGGCGCCTGCCACAATGCCCAGCTATTTTTGTTGCAATTTGGCCGGGGCCGGGTTTGAACCTGCCACCCTCGGTATATGGGGCCCGTGTCCTGCCCTCTGAGCCACAGGTGCCACCCCATGTCCAGCTATTTTTTGGTTGTAGTTGTCATTGTTGTTTGGTGGGCCTGGGCTGGATTCGAACCCACCAACTCTGGTTTTATGGTTATGGTTATATATGTTTTTATAGGTTAAAAACTGAAAGACAAGGTTATAGTTCCAGTCTACATAAACTTAACTCTCAAGATCAGCTTTGCAGAGAACAGGCATTTTTTTGAAACAACACTGTTATTATCAGTCAAGGATGAATTGAGGCTACCAACATACTTAGTCCTTGATATTATGCCCACTGGGCATGGTAGGGAGAAGAATCTGGTGTGTATTTTAAACAGCAGTCACAACATACTGTGTTTCCCCGAAAATAAGACACTGTCTTATATTTATTTTTTCTCAAGAACACACACTAGGGCTTATTTTCGGGGGATGTCTTCCTCTCCGTGCTGAAATGAATAGCATGGCTATGCAGCTGCATAGCCACACCCATCACTAGGTCTTATGGGGGAGGGCTTATATTTAACAAATGCAAATCCTGCTAGGGCTTAGTTTTTGGGTATTATTTTTGGGGAAACATGGTAAGTAAAAATACAGGCAGGTTACTGGGCACATTTGAAACAAAACAAATTGTCTAGCTTGGTGGAAACAAAGGGTCTGTAAAGAGGTTCACAAGAGGGAGACAGGTTGGAGAGATAAGTACAAGAGATATTATGACTGGCCTTGAATAGCAGTGTAAAGAATAGGCAGTGAGGAGCCATTGTAGTTTTAAGGAGTACACAGATATGATCAGTACAAGCAAGGAGGTTATTGAAGTAATCCAAGAGAGAAATGGTGGCCTGGACCAGAGGGTGAAATGGAAGGGAATGGATTTAGGATTTCAGTAGACAGACAGTCTTATAGGTCTTGGTGGCTGATTTGGATGTTAGGCTGGAGAGGTTAAGAGATAGGTAGGGATCCAGTATGACAGGCGGGGCTGCAGTTGGCTATGTTCAGTACAATCAAATTTTATTTTATTTTATTTTTTTTTTTTT